GGTGAGATGGCAGTAATGAAGTAAGTATTGAAATGCCAACACGTTCTCTCTCCCCAAGTCGTCACATATGCACACTTGGTCAAGACCCCTTGGCATTACTTTTTAACACACTGGGTACCCTTTAGCATCAATTGGCTGTGCAGGGCTCCACGGTCAAGTTTACAACAAAATGCTATGTGCAGTCAAGTTAGTATTAATGAATGTGCAACATCCGGTTAGACTTTCAAACTAAAACACATGGGTAACATTGTGAAAGGTTTGGTCAGGTTTAGGCACCTACTTGGTTAGATTTAGGAAAATAGTTTGGGTTAAAATAAGTATGATAGTGATATAAGTATGCTAGTTACATAAGTTAAGTTACCTAACTTAAGTTAGTTACATAAATGACGAATCTGTAGCTTAAGTTAACTAGAAGTTAACTGTGACTATTGGTTTCACGTGGCATGAAAGTCCAGTGTTTTTTTGACCCTTCCATCCACCCCAACCACTTCCCTATGCAGAATTCATCACTTTTTCTATATATATATATATCCCAACATTGACATGACATATAATGCTTTTAGCATTAAAAAATTACAGTAAACGGGTACTCAATGCCTTAGAAAGTGACACCAAGGGGTCTTAACCAAGTGTCCACATGTGACGACTTGAGTGAGAACAGGCTGGAAATGATCCCAGCCCTGTTTTTTAAAGCTTTTGTTCAGCTTTTTGTTCTGTATTTTTGTGGACATAATTTTACACAACACAAATGTAGAAATACATATTTTGGGTAGTGAGATAGATCTCCGCAGTACACATTGGACAAAATTCCACAAATGTGTAAAAAGGAAGTTACAAATGTAACATGACCCACAAATTGACAGAAAAACTGTTTTGTGTGTAGAAGTAACGCTGTGTTTTTGTGGATATGATTTTACACATCACAAATGTAAAAATATTTGTAGATAGTGAAATATTGGTGCATCATAGTACACATTTGTGGATTGTTGTCCATAAAATCTTCCATATGTTTGCTAATGGCCTGAGTCACAACCCAGCATCAATTACACAGATAGTCCTAGATAGTCCAAACTTTATATGATGAAAACATATCAAAGTACAACTCCAAGGGCAGCAGTGTCATTGGTGTATGCCACTACTGAAGGTTTATGAGTGGAGGATGATCACTAATCAAAGAGATGAGATTTAAAAAAGGAAAATGTTTAATTAATTCCACAAAGGGAAGTGTGTTAGATTGGACTACTCTAGGCATAAACATCTTTAATTAAAAGGAAAATCAGGCTCATACTCCACGTGTGGAGTTAATGCAGCACCTCACTACCAGCTTCACTGGTGCTGCTGCAAGGCTTTTCCTCAAGTATAAATGCTCTTCACTACAAAGCCCCAGCTCTAAAAATAGACCAGTAATAAATATATCCACACACGGCCACAATTTTGAGAGTGGATCTGCAGATGAGATACAGCGTTTGCTCACTTCAAAGGCTTGATGGAAAATCCAGTAATAAATCCATGGCACCTTATTCATCAGGTTCCTTGGACTCCCCTAAAACAAATCTTCCAATGACAAGACCCTCTTCTATCATACCCCTCTTATAGTAAACTGGCAAGCATTTAAGTGATGTTATTCTCTAGAATAGCTTTAAATAAGAAAACAGCTAGGTCTAGTTATCTTACAATATGACACCACAACTAAATCACAAAAATAGGGCTGCAACAGAGAAGAATGTCCTATTTATGTAATGTTTATATGGAAACTTTTCTGCCATGAGCAACACACAAGCACTCTGACCAGAGCGAGCTGGAATGACCAACATTTGATCTTTTGTCTCCTTTGGTATCCTCTGGTGAAAAGAATCACAAACTGGGCTGGTTGGTATGTATATTATATAAATAAATATATGTTTGTTACCTCCCACTTCCATTTGAAACCACCAATGTGGAAAGATCCCAAGTGCAGCTTTAACCACAAGGCCACCCTACATCTGTAAAGAGAACCTAAGGACTTAGTGTTAAACCCTTCATGCTTTGCAGTTTATGTGTCTTGTAGAGCTGCAATGATTAGTCGACTAGTCGACTAGTTTTGCTAACCTAGCTTAAATGACTAGCCTGGATCTGTCCAAAGGAAAAACAAATTGCACCTCTAGGCCAAAAGCTTACTAATTAACATGCTATATAGTGTTTGTTTAATCCGCACAAAAACAATTGTAAAAACGAAGTAACTGCGGATCAAACAAACAAGATATGACATGTTTAGAGAGCTGGCAGGTGGAATTCATTACCTTTGAACAGAGCAATGTTCGCTGTTTCCCCATTTCCAATCTTTGTGCTAAGCTGAGCTAACCGGCTGCTGACTGTAGCTTCATATTTAGAGAACACAAATAAAAGCAGTATCAAGCTTCTCATCTAACTCTCATAAAGAAAGCAAATTAGCATATTTCCACAAATGTAAACCATTGCTTTAACTTTTGTCTGAGGCTATATCAGAACTCTAAGCAGAGAGGAAGAAGGACTATAGATACTCAGACTGTGTGGCGCGTTTCTTGAGGAGATTGAGTAGGGGGTCATTAGGGGGATGGAGGAACAGATTGGTAGGTAAAGGATGAGGATAATTGAGTGTGACCATCAGTGCCCGGTATTGAGTTAGAAACATTCACCTGATTAGGGACTAGGTGGGTGGTGGGGTTCTTGCATCAGCCTCACCGCCAATTTGCCCCTTTTCCAGAGGCTGTAATTGCAGCTCAAATTAATTCCTTGTCTAAACCCATCTGATGCCCATCTGAGGACGCAGCTCTCAGTGGCACAGTTTGGTACTTAAAAACACCTGCTCCTCCTCCCCCTACTGTGTTTGCATGGATGTGGTGGTGCAAGCAGTCTTCAATCTACCTGTGTTTGCTGTTGATTCATATTAGAAGGCAAATTGGTGATATTGTTCTGCCTTCAACTGTCAATTCAGAGCCTCTAGTTTCAGGCTCTTAAGAGAATTTCTCTCCTTTGTTAAGATGTCCAATTTGTCAAAGCTCTCACAGAGAGTGACTGACAGTTAAGTGATTCATCATAATGGCAATCTGATATGTTGGAATGGTTTTTATGAGTTTTGCGACAATTTAAAAGCGCAACTCATGAACATGAAAGTCAGTTTAGTCCTACAACAAAGCTTTGATTCATCTCTGGATAACAGACATGACAATTGCACGTTAAGACATGTGTCGCCAAAAGGTAAAACCTTTTAAGAGCGTAAGTGTAGCAAAGCCGTATCAAGTCTTCAACTGTATTTGAAAAAATGTGTTCCATTAATCAGTTCACTTTATAAAAAATAAACAATGCACGGTGGATATAAGTGGAAGCTTTGCCAAAGAGAATTAACTGAAATTCATCATTTTCAGCAGGCTACCATGTAACGAATGGTTACTGAAAAATGATTGTCAATTCCAAAAAATATCTAATGTTCTAAGTAGCACTGGACTTACACAGTAAGTGACTTAAAACGATTCAACAGGAAAAAAAGAAATACACTGTCATCAGAAATGAACCTCCTTCTATTTAGGATTCCAGTCGTTGTTGCTTTGAGGAACATTAAAGTGAGTGTTAATGCCCAAAGGGGTATTGCTGAGTGATGCCAGGATAAGCAAAGCTTAGCGAGGTGTGTGGAGTCCATAGCTGATCACTTTCACAGCTAGAAGAAAAGAAATGCAGCTGTTGTTTACCATCCATGTTTTATTTCATCCTTTTTCTTTGAACCGCCTCGCTATGCGGAGGATTTCAGGCTGGCAAACACACACACATACACTACAACTACATTCACATACTTTTACATGCAAATACATGTCTTTGTTAATCTCTTTGAAGAAACAGAACAGTTCATTAAGACTTAAAGATAGGATCTTTATCACAAAGGTAACATGCTACATAATACTGTATCAGCAATCTGGTTTTAGGTGCCTTCTCTTCCATTTGAAATTTTAACACTGCATTACATTCTGAGGTTTTCCGGGTGGTGATGGAACAATGGATAAGACACATGCCTTTGGTGTGAGAGACATGGGTTCAATTCCCCACTGTGACACATCCACCATTGTGTCTGTGAGCACGACACTTAACCCCTAGTTGCTCCAGAGGCGTGCGACCGCTGACATGTATAGCAGTGTAAGTCGCTTTGGATAAAATCGTGAGCTAAATGAATAAAAAGTCTTGAACAGACACTATAGAATAAGTTTTGGTTCCTACATTATAAACAGCCAACAGTAATAATGTCATGGTTCAGAGTGGAGTGGCATCTAGGTATATGTAAGATAAAAGGCTGTTCTTAATTGTGAGGTCAATCAAAATGATTACTGACACAACAAAGAGGTTATTTTGAACACTAAAAGCAATACACAAAGCTTTGATAGACATGAACATCAGTCAGTATTTAAATTAATAAATTATAAACTCTGTGCCCTACTTCTTAAAGAGAGAAATGTCAAAAAATTGGGTCTTGTTTGTTAGGCAAAGGCATGCAAAAAAGAGCAAGTCTTTTGCAGCACACAAGACATCCAAATTGCAGTTAGGTGTCTCAAGTTGTATCTCACAACATGCGACAAACTTCAAACACTCAATTACACAGTTGAGTCTGTCTTTAGAAACTGGACCAGAACAAACATCGTCTCCTGTTCAGCTCTAAAATACACTAAAAACTGTGAAGAGAACTAAAACCGCTTTTCAACTGACACTTACCTGAGCTGATTCAACTGTGTGAATTATTGAAATGAGAGCGCATTTCCTAGAGGAAAAAGTTCCTGAATGTATTGAAATAAAAATCATACAAGGCACCTCAGCGACAAAGTGAAGGGAAGTGAAGTGAAGTGAAGTGAAGCTCCCTCAAGGAAAGATAACAGACAAAGTGAAGTCTTGGATTTGCAAACCAAAAAAAAAAAACTGTCAGGAAATGTAATTACTGCAATGATGAGCTGAACAAAGTGATTAAAGAAGGCTGGAGGTATAAGAGAGAGAGGTGGGAGTACCTTTGATGTCGGTGAGTGCCGTCAGACCACAAGTAGACTGAGGATAGGCGCAGCTCTGTTAGAGTCGACTCGTTTGTTCAGTCCGCCTGGGGAGATCTGTGGATAAAAAAACAAGGACATGGAATATAAGTATTTAGCCAACCCACTGACAGTGCATTGTTAATATGGCTCTTATGTAATGCAGAGACACACTTATTGAACAATTATAGTAGGTATACAACTATAATCTACTCTCAACCATAGTACACTCACAGTAGCTATTGGTAATGCTTGACACTGTCCATCACTCGTGGTGTGCCACAAGGCTCAATTATAGGCCCGCTTCTGCTTTCTGTTTGTCTGTTTATGGACTTTGTTCGCAATTTAATTTCTATGCCGATGACCCATACCCATAAAACCTGGAAATTTTGACCGTGATGTCCATCTCATTAACTGCTGGCTATCCAACCATTGGACATTTTATATGCTCAGATCTGAAGAAAGTTATCCATGCTTTTATTTACATCCTGATTGGACTACTGGACATTTATTCATATTTAAGATAGAGATCTCTCTCCATTGTAGTTGGTCCAAAATGTGGTAGCAGGGAGCTAAACGATTCAAGGAGGTGTGATCACATCATGCCTATTTTATCCTCCCTTCACTGGCTACCAGTCAAATTAATCAATTTTTACTGATTACATTCAAAGCTTAATAAGGTCTATACCCAAAATACATTTGTGAACTCCTGACCCTTTATGAACCAGACACGCCTTCACTGTGAATGCTCCGGGCAATGCTCATGGTTTGGTCTTTGCCGGAGGAACTTAGCTTGGTGCTTCTGTGTGTAGATACAAGTTGTGCAGATGTCCAAAAACAAAACATTTAGTCAATATTTCTCAGATGTAAGATTTCTCCAAGGAAAACCAAGTAATATGTCAGCTATTGCTATATGCTACAATAATTTTAGGCTAAGTATTTTGTTATTATTTACCGATTGTTAATAATGAGGCAACACCTACTTGATACCTCTAACAAACTAATATGTCAGCTTAGTATTCACACTGCACCACCTCAGAAATAGACATCACAGAGACATAGAAAGAACAAGTCCAGTGTCCAATACTGTATCACAAATTAGTGTTTCATACCATGGGATGAATCATTCTGTCATACACGCCAACCTGTCCGGAGGCTCTGGTGCCTTTGATGGTTGAGAAAACAAAAGTCTGGCAGCAAAACCGCTGGATCAACTGAACCCTTGAAGATGTCACTGATGATGAAATCAAACGCTCCTTTATGCACGCGTCCTCGCAGGCCAACTTTCATTTCAAGACAATGGGTTTAATAGGATGTAATGGTTCCTTAAAAATTGCCTCATCCTTCAAGCAACAATATTTATTTAAAAAACTACAATTCCCAAAATGAGTTCATCAGTAGTTCATTTCAGATCATTAGCTGTTATGCACAGATGCAACTGGGGTTCAGATTCTTGATAAAAATGTTGAAGAGCAAAAGTTACATGTCCTATACTTCGGTATTTTGGACATTCATGGTTTTTTCCTTACTGAAACTGAGACATTAGCCCTGAGAAAACCTGAAGCAGCAAAAATTGCCAACTGAACTTTCATGTGTTTAAACTGCATGAATTCAAATAAATATGGACTCACATAAGCTTTAACGTATAGACAGCTCTCCACATGATAAGTATCTCCAGATGCAGCTCTGGCTGCATGCCAAACATGCATCACTGAATAGTGAAGCAATGCAATGTTTCAGTAACTGTGATCAGAAGATTCCCACAGTGAGTTAGAAAAAAATTGATACAAAGTCAACTTTCCTCTCCAGGTTTTAGCTGGCTCCGGGATTAGAATATCTCTCCCTCTCCAGGGTGTGTTCACTTCAAGGACAGATAGGCTCTGAGCACCTTGGATTTCTGGTACAAACATCAAAGGTGAAGCTAAGCCCAGCCGCATTAGTTATCACCTCGTCTCTCTCGGTCTCTCTCTCCGGCTCTGGACGAGCCCTTACATCACTAATTATCTCGGCACACAGTCACAGCTCACAGTAGTACTGTGATTAATACACATTTTATTCTGCTTAACGCGATGCAATGCTCTTGTAAGTGAGTTTTTACTGTGGTTTGGCAGGTTTGAGAATGGGAAAATTGATGGTGAGTGAAGATGATAAAAGAATGAATGATGCTCGGCCACCCTTGGCTAATGGCACTTAACCTCCCAGCTGATCCTGTGGAGCTGATCAGAGGTCAATAGTAAGTAACTGTGACTATTCTGGGTGGTGGTCGAGGGTTCCTGTGGCTAAAGAGGTGTTGATAAATGACCAATTCTGACACAATGCTGACACATTGCTCAATAATTGGAGACCTGTATTTGGCAGCTCTAAGGAGCAAATGTGGTTAACAATGCAATGCTGTATAGAAGTTTGTATTATTCAACAAAGCACTTCTATGGGTAAATGTAGATTTAAATCAGTGGCCGTGCTTCAAGCAGATAGAGTTTCATACTCCCAATAGCCACATCGAATCAGATGTATTTACACAGCACCCAATCAGATACATTTCTTTGCTCTTGGTTCTGTGGAACGTGTAGATTATCTTCACCGTTGCTGCTGATGCCGCCACCAGCACTTGACAGTAATAACTGCAGAACCCTCATGCAATATTTGTGTTGCATATCAGCGCCTCATACCTCACCTGCTGTGCATTATGCAGACAATTGCATATTCTATCATGACTTGTTCCCCGTCAACCCACATCGTTTGGAGAGTGCCCCAGTGTAGTTCTGTGATTAATAATGAACGCAGAGTGAGGGTTAGCTAGCTGACTGACTGAAGGGCTGACTGGATAAGCAGACACTGCTTGTGTGTGTCTGTGTATGCATAAAGGTGTGCCATTTCATGCATCCTCTGTGAATACAGGCTTCTTGTGAATGCAGTGAGAAACCTGACTAAATGTTTGGACAACTACGTAAATGAAATACTAAATATGAATGTGAGTATTAAAATGTAAGTGGAAGCATTATTTGAAAACTTGCGCATGTGGGTTAAGTCCTTCAACCAAAATAATATTGATGATGCTGTGAAGTTGTTTGACATGGCCCAAAATTACCCATGCAGTGTTCTACGAATTAGTATCCCAGTATGCCACCATTTGTCAATGCCTTCCATAACACATATGATTCACATGAGCATATTCTGATTTAATGATGTGGTTAAAAGTAAGGAACCTAAAACAACGTGGTTAAGGTTAGGGGAAGATTGTGGTAATTGTTAATAATAATAATAATAATAATAATAATAATAATGCATTACATTTATATGGTGCTTTATCCTGGATACTCAAACCGCTTCCAAGGAATAGTTTGACATTTTGGGAACTATTTGTATTAGCTCTCTATCTGAGAGTTAGATGAGAAGATCTATATCACACATATTTTTGTGCAGTAAGTATGAAGATATATCAAGGAGGCATTAAGCCTAGCATAGTAGAAACAGGGGGAAACAGCTAGCCTGGTTCTCTCCAAAAGCCACAAAATATGCAGAGACACGATATCACAACCCCTATGCCATGACTCCCTGCCCAGTGACAACTGGTATGTGCATGAGTGTGATTTTGTTTATTTCCTACTTTCCGTAGAGTGTGGTATGCTTGGTCTGTTTTGGTTTTGTCTGTCTGTGTGTGTCTCGCTATATCTCTCCAGTTGTGGACGTAGGCGTGAACCCGGGCTCGTGGTTTGGAACTTTCCTGCACCTGTCTGCCATCGGCAATCACCACACCTGATTGCCATCCACCACTTACCAGGTCCATAAATACCAATGCCTCACATCCACACTCAGCTGGGTTGTGTCACACATAGCATGTTTAAAAAGACATACCTGACAGTTATCTTGGTTAAACTAGTTAATCTGTTTTACCTGTTTAACCCACTCTGTCTTCTCTGTCTGCAGAACAACAAACACCTGGACTTCATCCCTGCCTGCCGGCCAAGACTCCCAGCTACTGGACTCTGCTCACTCATTCTGCCTGCCACGCAATCCAATTCACTATCATCTGAACTGTAAATGAACTGTAAAAACTCACAAAAGTGGTACCAATCTTCTGAACTCTCGATAGGGACACAAATAAATGTTTTCCAAAATGTCAAACTATTCCTATAAAAGAAACCAAACATTCAAGATGCAACTACAACAGGGCACATTTTAGTACAATGTATACGTTGGTTGTCTCTTGACCAAATGGCCAGTGCTGCTATTTCTTTACTGTGGGCTGTTCATCTCGCAGTGAAAATGTAAATCTGACAAATACTGTACAAGTTATGTAATCACCACACTATTATCTATATCACTATTTTACACTAAATTACTTTATTTTGTAGTAGCGTACAGTGAAAAAACACCAAAAGAAAGTGACCTCGTAGGTTTCCTCATTTTCAGACCTGTGTCACAATGTTAAGCTACTAAAAACAAGAGGCGGTAGGGAATCAGAGCTGCTCAACCCAACAGAGGGGATCATGGCCTCTGCACGTCATAGTATGTATATTAGCCTACTGAGCCATAGGGAATCACACAAATCTACGCATTTTGGTATGTTGACAGCAGTTAAAGCCAGTGGATGGAGTATTGTTGTCCATCAGGTTTATACATGACTCATATTCCACCTATCACCTGTTTTGCTTTGGTCTTCTCTCCGACTTCTCCCCAGTCTCATGAAACTTATTGTAGCTGGTTTGGAGCAATCTGTGCTCCGACAGAATCCCCTGGCAACCCTGTATTTCCAGCTAATTGCTCAGTTGAAAGCAGAGCTAAGACATGTTGTACTGCAAATGTGCATCCTGTGTCTGCAGGATGTGTTTGCAGAGAGCAGAAGCTAATGGTATATACCACAAGAAAATTACAGTCCATCATCATTAGTCCAGACAAACAGGCAGGCTTGGGTCATAAAAAAAAGAAGTAGTAGAAGAGTGGTTCAGGTTTTAGAACTCACTCACGCACTCATCCTCGAGAGCTGACCTTGGCTATAGCTCCTTTAATTTAAGGCAGGAAGAAATGACCCCACCCCATCAGAACTTACCGCCTCTCAAGATGTAAATAAAGAAAGA